GCACCCCCCCCACCCCCCCCCCCCCCCCGAAATCACCGGTGAATGAGACTGCGGTAGCTGCAACTACTGTACGACGAGTACGCGGTTATTCCACCTGACATGATGGATGATTATCCGTGCGTGATTTCAGTCTTAGACGACCGCCCTACCTACTTGCGCATTGATAGCCCCGGCAACTGTAACATGCTCATAGCACGCGGTTATTCCACCTGACAATGATGATGATTATCCGTGCGTGATTTCAGTCTTAGACGACCGCCCTACCTACTTGCGCATTGATAGCCCCGGCAACTGTAACATCTGGGCTCATAGCAGACCGCAACAAGGTGCTCATAGCAGCGTAAAAGCTGTCTTCGAGGGTATCAGAAGCGACTATCAATAGGCAGCTATTCAACCCTCTGACTCAATTGCTTGAAACAATACCAACCCCAGGCGAACCAGCAGTGGCTTCTGAATCCCCAGAGGCGCGCAACCAGAAGCGACCGGAAACCGATAGTGTCAGTTCAACAGCCGTCTCCGATCCTCTCCTCAATTGCAAAAGAGTATAGCGTACCAGCAAGAGCAATCTGCTGTCTGGCTTGTTTCAGAGTGCAGCTACGGGTAATGGGTAGCGAACGGATCGGTTGGTTGATAAGAATAGGCATATGGAGATTGCGCTAAAAACGGAGGGGGACAAGAGATGCGTAAGGAGAAGACTGTATGCGCTTATCCACCCCACTGTCATTAAGCTGTAGTGCTTTTCCGGTGCCTAACTGCCATACCACCAGAGGGAAGCACAAGGGATGGGATACTGCCATGTTGCCCAAACCTAGACAGGACAAGTCGAGAGGCTGAGGTCGGGTTCGAACCACAGACCTTCGGGTCAGTGAATTCGCGCTCTAACCACTGAGCCATCTCGCCCACTGTATGCGACAATAAGGCAATCCAGCTGATGGGTCAGCAGCGACGGCCCATGTGACGTGAGATTATTTGTGTAGTTCATGGCTGTAAGCGGGCTGGGATACTACCAGGACGCTCACACCTAAACATGAACACGATTAAGGTCCTCAACCAAAGCCTTGGCTCAAGAGCCGCAACGGCAACTGTGGTTGACGTAAGACCGTTAGAGCAGCCTACGTTCCTAAGGAGCAACTTGTCACAGGTTTCAACGTTCAACGTGGAGGACTGGGACACTGTTGGTCAGACACCTACTCATTCATCAACCATATATGAGAGGTTCTGTGATTGCCACATGTATATTCCCCAGTATAGCTCAACGGGTCATCATCACTACCATCATCGACAGTATGACATCCGTGTTCAACACTGATCCTTCGTTGCCGTACAACCAGGATTTATTTGAAATTCATTGTGAAGAAAGTAAGTGAACGGGAAGGAGGAATTGGTGCTAGCATCCTACAATCGTTCTGAGGTGCCTACGCCTCCTGACAAGAACGCCACTGACATCAAATGACAGCCACATCTTGCAGCGCTTCAAGCAGGTGAAACGGGGAGCACACAGTTCCCATCCTGGAAGGCGAGTAGCACCGACAGCATCCGAACATTTCGTAATTCCCTCATACCCCTCTTCCAGGTCAAGGGTTTGCCACATCTTTGTATCTGCCACTCAGAAATGAGCACGGGAAACAGCAGTCTCTTCGGCAAACACTCGTTCGGCATGCGCGATACGTGGTCTAACCAACGCAGCTTCTGGTGCTGTGCACATTCTTTAATAGAAGTTCCCATGGTACAACCAAAAACTCGCTTCTTAGCTGCCTCGTTATGAGTTCGCCGACGCCACGAGCCACGTTTCCAAGACAACGGTTGCGGAACACGTTCACTTTCACTTGACGTCTGATAATTCATCGCGTCAAGTTATGTTCGGGACCGGCTGGGATTTTCCTCTCAGAGATTTAAGCATTGCCACCGTTCAATCTGATATCCAGTGCTTGAGTGACCCTCATAGCGCACTGCCGCGAGCAAAACTCCAAGCACTGTGCAGAGGTAGCGATCTCGTCCAAGTATGGATTCACATCTGAAGGTAGAGCATTTGAAGGATATGCTGGACGACCCATCATCTGGATCTGTCAGTCCTTCAGTAGCCAGGCGATTTTAGGAACCTTGCGCGGCCCTGGCAAACAAAGGGAGAAGCGACTTCGGACGAGTGCGTAGTCAGGAATGCTGGGGATATCAATATCCCCGAAAAACTCTGTATTTTCATGTGCTAGCAAACTTCCGGCATCTTCAAGGTCAAACTATGAATATATATATATATATATATATATATATATATATATATATATATATATATATATATATATATATATATATATATATATATATATATATATATATATATATATATATATATATATATATATATATATATATATATATATATATATATATATATATATATATATATATATATATATATATATATATATATATATATATATATATATATATATATATATATATATATATATATATATATATATATATATATATATATATATATATATATATATATATATATATATATATATATATATATATATATATATATATATATATATATATATATATATATATATATATATATATATATATATATATATATATATATATATATATATATATATATATATATATATATATATATATATATATATATATATATATATATATATATATATATATATATATATATATATATATATATATATATATATATATATATATATATATATATATATATATGCATTGTCATTTTTTCCCATGCTCGCTTGTTGTTGGATCATTAAAGTTTGTGTCCGAGGTTTTTCGTTTTCTTACTATCCGCCGTGCTAGAAGTCTGGATCAAGCAACATAGCTGGGGATAGAATATTGCCACGATCCGTATATCATATTGTTTGCTCGCTGGATGATCGAACCGTAACAAGGATCCACAAATATGTTCGAAAACGACCAGTAGTCAGTCAGTTACTCATCTATGCCATCGGTAACTGATGGTGACGTGACCGATTTGAGTTTGTGGCCAACGCGTCGCTGGAGGACACCATGTGGCCACACGACTTCGCGGAGGTACACAAACCGTCACACCGCGGCAAAATCTAGTCATCCAAACAGGAGTAATCGTAAGACTAGGTTTAAATCACAGAGCTCTTAGCCAGTGGATCTGCCATCGCGAGCTCTATGGAATGCCATACGAAAACCTCACCTTTATTGCTGCTGTCGATAGTTTTCCGGCTTTTAGATGTGCAAGATCTTCAGAAGTATATCGGACAAACTTAAAAATGCGCCGATGAACATGATCAGGCCTTGGGCAATTACAGCATGTGGTCTGGGGTTGGGGGGTTCCCAGCCCGTCTTTGCACAGAGAACAGCGTTACCGCCACTTCTTACGGTGTGCACATGCCGGTCGGAAGGACGTTTGAATTCGGACTACAGATCTCCATTCAGTAGCTCGCGCCACGTAACACCAGGTGAGATGTTCCATACTAAAAACTCAAGGGATGAATTGGCTGATCCGATGTTCAAGAATTTTGGCAATATTATGTAATTAAACAACAGGTCACTCACAGGAATCATTTGACGGAATTTGTGCAAAGTGGTTGGTTCTACCTCCCCGAACAGCCCGGCCGTTTGCTTGCAAGTGGATTGGCGCCCCTGGACTAATTGGATAATTCGGTCTCTGTGAGATCGGTGGCTCCATAGCTTTTACTTCGACCTAAAAGAAGACAATTTCAAGGCAAATATGCGGCCCTTACCTGTTTTCCATCCAAATTAAGGAAGTGCATACGTATTAGATTTTTCACCACTTCTTCGTCATCGAATCCGACAAAGGCAAACCCTGAAGTGAAACAAAGGACACAACAATAAGCCAGTTTTGATTCCCGCGTGCCTGAGTTGGAAATCTGGAGATGCAATTAGGTCCATAGAATAAGCCGATACGTCTGTTCACTTCATTCATTAAAGGATAGTAGATAAAAGCGTTGGTTTAACCTCTAAGTGCCAAAACGACAATATTGACATTTTCGGCCACAGCCAATCGTCCCTTCGGGTGGGTGCTAAAAGAGAAACACGGAAGAACCACAAACTGTGGTTAGGCTAAACTCAGTGGAGGCACAAAGAAAAAGATAAAACTTCGCCCAACCTGGTATTGCCTCAGGGTTCCCGAATACCGGTGCTAACGTCCGTTCAACTCGGATTATCGCCGGACCCAGATGAATTAAAAATCCCCAGTATAACCATCAAAATCCCAACAGACGTAACGGCGCCAACTGACTTTGAGTCCAGTGATAACGAGTCCGGGGTGAATGAGCTGACTTCTACAGTTGTCCACACAATCCTATGAAACGTCAAGTTGTTTGATCGGTTGGCATCACATACGCCGGAATCCGTGCCTCTCCTTTTTACAATGGCTGCTTGGATAAAAGTAGCCTGCAGCCCAGCAGAAGGCACCGTAGATGGGGAACAAACAACGAAAAATTCTATGCGATGCTAGACATTGAATGCGACAACCTTTGCACGGGGTTTGAACCTATTACGCTAGAAGAGGAACAATTAAGGTCGGGAGCTGAAAGAAGCAACCAGAGAGTTGACCACATTTTGTACGGTTTCGCACGGAAAAGCTTGTCGATCATCAATATCTAGTGGTGCTTAAAACGCCCCACAAACATGGAAGAAAAAGTCCGTGAAGAGAGCCCCGTCCCTAGGGAAAACGACCAAGATCAGGTGCGTTATTTCGGAACAGACTTGAGTGGCATATAGGGGTGGGATGTCATCAACATGCACCCAACGGTAAACTTTAGAAAGGCAGTGCGGTTAAGCGTGACAGTTTGAGCGCCGCTGAGGTAGAATGAACGCCACGATCTGCAACGTTTTTAACGGTATGCAACGAGAATCACGTAGGCTCCAACCAAGAAGGCGTCAAAATTCCATGTCTGTCTGATCAAACCCATGTCCTATGTCAAATTTATACGAGTCTGGTTTCAGAATGGAAGTGTTTTACCTGGTAGATATGCTTGGACATGCGTGGCACCTGTCCCAATCGTTCTAGCCTGGTAAGCTTGTTTGTTGCTCTAGTGATTAATCCAGAAACAAGTGCCCACTTAGGCACCAATTCACGCCGGAGTGAGATGTACCGCGAGGCCCGCCGGATGGGGGGAAGGCAAGCCTTAAAACCCCAGCATCTCAACAAGTCCTGTTCACACTTAGGTAAACTGGCAGTGTATCAGACCCATGATCAAATGATCGTGGCACCTCGGTGTGTGCATCGTATGGTCAATCAATGGCAAAGATTGGTCACAAAGTCTTATTGGATCCCGCTGTCTATGGGAAAACTTCGACAGTTCATTGTAAACTTTAACAAGCTGTGCTAGAACGAAGGGTGTAGAGCGCATCGACAAACACCGGGTGCATCTCCCTGTCCAGGTGTACTTACCGGTTGTCCTACTCATAGAGTTGAAGGCCCCGTTGAAGCTAAGGTTGACGGTACAAGTGGCGTTGCTCAACTGGTTGGCAGTATGCTACCCTTCAACAGCTTATCGGACACAATCCCAATAACGGGTTACAAGTGACATCCAGAATCATTTAACCTCATTTCCAGTATTGTCGTGCAGTGCACAACTGAAAACGATGTGCCCAGGTTCATAAAATTAAGTGAGGTAACGAGTATGGCGACGCTTGAGACTTCAGTAATGAAACTACAGGAATTCTCTGTTGCACCGAATAAGTACTTAGGATTTGTCTTCGAAAAAAGCTGTCGTACCAGTTTTAAAAGTGATGCAGAAACGTGGTGGAAAGTTCATCGTTTTGGGACAGGTTCAGAAAATAAACAATGAGTCGATTGGATGGGTTTCGTGATATGCGGTACCCTCCTAGGTAAGTAGTTTTCGCAAGTGTCGAGGCGGGTTTGTGTGGACGACCGGCTTGTACGAGTGTTTGATACACGAATAGTTCCACGACGAGATGTTGTAGACCGTAGATCTTGAAGTCATAAGTTGCTCGTATACGCATGATGGTCCGCACGAACCTTGGGATGTTTTGGTCGTTACCCCTCTATTTCCAGTTCGTTTGATGCTTGTTGTACAGCGTACTCTAGATGTGGTCAAGTGGAAGCTCAGAGAAACACCGAAGAAAAGTTTCGTAGACCTAGGTGTAATGGTAGTTCTATGGGCATCCTGAGACTCAAAATAATAACACCCGAATCATTTCAAGTACCCAACAAGTTTCCACAATGTGAAAATGTTCGACACCACGTCGAATGGATAGTGCACAAGTATTCGGTGGCCTGGTTGGATTGGTGTAGCGGTTTTCCTCACTAGACTAGCTGGTTTAATGAAGTGGCTAAAATAACCGGGCAAGCTGGAACTAGGTAGATTCACACCAGTCGGAAGCATGCGGAGACTGTGGAATGAGTGTCAATGGTCTTAGATGGCTGACAGACTAGTGTGAGAAAAACTACCAATTGAATAAATGAGCGAAAATATTCATGCAGACGCGTTAAGGACGCGAGGAACTGGGCCCGTGTCGAATAAAGCACGCAAAGTCATAAACATACCACGATGCCTTTGCTTATTGGGACTGGTGAGGAGGTTCACGTCAGTAACCTGGTATAAGAATAGATTATAAAATGGCTCGACTTACTCTGCCGTACTTTGAAAAGAAATTCCTGATGGTCGACTCGTCGTGCTCAAATGAAATACCGCCAACAAAAATCTTAAGGCTCCTTCGGTTCTATCAACCAAATGTCAATTCAAGCAAAGAACGTACCTTTCCCTTCATGTTTATGTTGCATCGTTTTGGGTCAACTTCTTTGTGATCGACGACGTGAAGCTTCTGCGCGAGCACAGAATCGACCGAGGTGCTTTCCTTGTACTTTATGTAACCGAACCCCCTTGAACGGCCAGTCCGGTTGTCCATCATAACAATGGACTCTTCGATCTCTCCAAACTTGGAAAAATACGACTTTAAGGAATCTAGCAAGAAGCTTCAGAGTCGGCACGCTGAAATTACCATTGGTAGTTGACTGGTGGAGCCCCCCAACGAACAGTTTACTAAAACATTTATTTATTTGAATTTCTGTAAACCAGGACGTACCCAACTTCATTCCCTTGGGAATCTACAGCCATCATTTTGCGGGAGGGGCATACAGCCAGTGGACACTAGGGTCCACTGAACACTGATAAGTTCAAACAAAGTTGGCCCGCGCGGCCTATCAGGTACCACGTGTGTAGTAAAAGATTCACGGCTGTTGAAGGATTACCCTTGATATGAATGAATCTCACTGAGGCGACTTTCATGAAACGCAAGACACTTGCACTCTAACACGGCCTTCCGAACTGACCTTGGGGGACCGCGTGTTTGAAAACGGAAACAACGCCCCACAGCGATCGGCGGATGCTTAAGTGGCAAAAGAACTTCTTTCCAATATTTTTTATGTCGAGTGAGAACCTCCTCGCGAAACATCTTTCATTTTTCTGTATGTGTGTTCGAACCAAAAGCTACCACTCTCTGCCCTGCATTTGTTGAGTTTTGTTTCAATTCATCAAGGACTCACGGGTTCACGGATTGATACACAGGATCGACGCTTTTGCCCAAGTTTCCCGGGGCGGTTTCGTTCTTGTTGGTCAGTGGCTGTCGTTCACCTGAAAGGCAAAAGTGAAAAAAGGGTGTAGCACTGCCCTTCATATTCTCAGCGCGAGGCAGTATGCTCACCAGCGCGAGGATTCGCATAAATAAATGTCTAATAGTGCTTTAAACTAGGTTCTAGAAGGGGCGTGGACGACCGTCGTAAGAAGGTCATTCTTCGCAGATACTATCCGAAATGAGAAAAAGTTTTGTCTAATGAATGTGTGTGCTCTGAGCTTGAAAATTTTCTTACTATGCCACCGCCGGGTGTTTGCTGGGTCAACGGTGAAAAACCTGTTTACCAAGCTTTGTTCAAACAGGGCATAAGTAAGAATTAGGTCCCCTCGGGGGCGACGGTACTCCAGGGGAAAGAGATCAAGCATCGCTAGACGCGCTTCATAGTCCACGGACTTGAGGCCGGCAACAATTCTCGAAGCGGCCCGCTGGACACGCTCAATGAGGGTAACGTC